GAAGAGAGTCAATCTTACGAATGTCAGGGGGAAGAGCGCTCCAGAGATGGAGAGCAGAGTGAGAGAAGGCTCTGTTTCCCATGGTGCTGAGGGGACAAGAGGCACGTTGAGACGGATGGAAGAGGAAGAACGGAGGGAGCGTGAATGGGTAGTCATGTGTAAGAGATCAGACAGATCGGGAGGGGTGAGGTTGTGGATGGCCTTGAATGTGAACAGCAGGATTTTAAATTGAATTCTGAATGTGACTGGAAGCCAGTGAAGCTGTTGTAAAACTGRGGTGATGTGGTGAAATGAGCTTGTTTTGGTGATGATGCGTGCAGCTGAATTTTGAACCATTTGAARTTTACGGAGTGATTTGTTCGGCTGACCAAAGAGGAGRGAGTYACAGTAATCTATTCGAGAAATGACCAGGCTATGAACAAGGATGGAAGCAGAGTGCGGGGAGAGGGATGGACGGAGTCGACTGATGTTTCGAAGGTGGAAATATGCAGACCGGGTAATACTATTGATGTGAGAGTGAAAAGAGAGAGTGCTGTCAAGAATGACACCCAGACTCTTGACCTGAGGGGAGGGAGAAACCAAGGAGCTGTCAATGGTRAGGGAGAAACTGTTAGAAGGATATGCATGTCACAGGTAMTTYAAAGTTATTTACTTGGTTTAAATTGAACATTTTTACCACTGGATGTAATAAATCTAATTTACTCTGCTTCTTTTAAATCCTCAAGAGTTTGCACCTGGGCTCCTCAGACGAGAAGCAAAACGTTTATCAGAATCAAAAATGTGACGCAAAGCCATCAGTAATATGCATCTGTGTTTGGGTTTAAATGGGTTTGTGTCTCCTCAGCTGGGGCTGCGGACCCTGCAGGACCTGGCTCCAGAGATGCGTCTGGCGATGGTCTGTGACCTGGAGGACGAAGAGGCCACAGAGGGAGAGATGACCGCCGATGAGATCTTCGACAGCGAGCACTCGGCGACCACCACGCCTGCTGCCACGCCGCTGCCCCCTCTGCACGTGCTGGTGGAGCAGACGGCTGTGATCGTTGAACCTGAGCCCAGGCTGACCAACGGGGGCGTGATCACCAGGCAGGTGGAGGGCTTGCAGGAGCACCAGAGACCAGGATCAGATCTGGCCGGGGTCAGCATTGTTACGGAGCAGCCTGTGAGGTCTGAGCCCCTCCCCTTCAGGTGCKGTATCTCAACACAGTATTTGAAAGTCCTGATGAGTTGTTTCTGACTCGTCTGATCTGTTGTTTCAAACCAAACAGTGTGGAGTCCATCAGTGAGACACCTCTTCCTCCTCCTCCTCCTCCTCCTCCTCCAGAGATATTAGATGAAGGAGTCGTTGGAGCTGAAGCAGTCGTTTTGGCTCCAAATGGAGCAGCTGAGCAGTTTTATATTAACGAGGGAGATGCTGCAAGTGTAGCATCAGACAGGTGAGAAATAAGGACATTATTAAGGAGGCATGTAATAAATGTCTAAAATAACAACATTTTGAGAAATTACCATTAAATTAAGTTAAATTAAACTAAATTAAATTAAATTAAAGTAAAACAAAATAAAATAAAACTAAAGTAAAATAAAATAAAATAAGCATAGACTTTGCCCTGTTCTGCTAGTCTGACTCTTTAATCCAGTTTGTTTCTTTGTCTCCTCAATCTTGCAGGTATCTATATCCAGACGCCATGTCTCCAGTACCAGACGCTGTGTCTCCTGTCCCCACTGAGACGGGGGACATTGGCCAGATTCTGGACAGAGCCAGCAGCGTAGGGGAAATGCCCTACGATGCTCACGATGCTCATGGCTTTGTCGGGAGCAGCTACGGAGAAAACAACATGAATGGAGGGAGTGTGGCGGTTAGCCCCGCCCCCTACGAGTTAGACAGATATAACAGGAACGGATACAACGCAATGAGCTACAATGAAAACAGCAGCTTTATCAGCACTAACGGCGATGGAAKTATGATGAGCGGCTGCAATGAAAACGGCAGCACCATCAGTGGTTACAATGGGAATGAGAACGGTGGTGCCCAGTTTGTTCGGAGACGACTACTTCCTGCCATACCCAAAGGTGAGAAGGCTACTTTYATGTTTTAGTCCTTCAAGAACAAATGAATAAGAAACAACTTTAGGAACATTTTATAACTAATTAGGTTTATTGGCAGCTGGTCAGAAAGAAGACTGTCAGAAGTAAAGATGGGCAGAGGTTCACCGGTCTGTGAGAAACTGTCTAAATAWAGTGAAACAATTTCAAAATAATGGTCTTCAACAGAAAATTTGAAAGGCCTCCTGTAATCTATTGTTCATAAAATATCAAAATATTGCATGAATTTGAACAGCTTGGTTTCACAGCTTTATGATAAACCATGAAGTTCAAAATATCTATTTTTTTTTTCATAAAAATGGTCAAATTTTTTAGTTTAAACATTTTTTGAGTTTACTGTTTTCCACTGTGAATAAAATTGATAAGATTTGKAAATCACTGGATTCTGTTTTAGTTTTTTTTTTAAATAACATCTAAAACTGGTGGATTTGAGGCTACAGATGACATGACTTAGAAATTTCATATTTTGTAAATTTGGTCTAAATTGAAATGAATTTCAAACCAGTCAGAGTCATGATTTGTTATTAAAATAGAATATTAGGTCAAACCATTTTTCTTATTTTGTTCAAACAAATAAGAAAATTTAACTTGTGATGAGATTTTTTTTTTGACTGAACTCAAATGTTTTATCAACCAGACATTTTTTAAAAAGTTCATAATATTTGATGAATTAAAATGGGGAGCACCAGATTATTTAATCTGTGATCCTGGTAGGTTTGTTAGAAAAAGGTACAGCGATAACAAGAAAACTCAAAGATGTGTTGAATAGATTAACACCTTGAAGTGGGGATCTATGAACAATCATCATCCTACCTGTAGCAGATAGCTTTTAGATCAACCTGCATTTGGAAAAACAGGCTTTAAGTTTGACATGACTAACGGGCTAATGGCTAGTCTTAATGGAGCAAAGTGAATTGCTTCAATCTAAAAATAGCTTTAAGYAAACACTGTTTTATGAATCATTAAGAGGATGTTAATTTTACAGTTGATTACATAAAATTACGTAGTTACAAATGTAAATAGCAGGAGCTGCAGCACTTTCAGAGAGTTCAAGCAGAAACATCACGTCATGAAAACCTGACAAAAAAAACCCAAACATTTATATAAATATCTATAAACGTTTAAAGATTAAAGATGTTAAAAGACTGTGTTAATCCCCTTTAATCTCAGTGCATAAAGATGTTAGCTCCTCGATACAGTCAGAACCTTTTCTCTGAACTGAATTTGTTCAAAGAGTTGTCTACAGCAGGTAAGATACTGTTTATAATAAGTTGTGTTCTTGTTGTTTCAGGTCGTAAACCTGCCTTTAACTTCCAGTGTCTGAGACCTCAGAGCAGCGTGGACGACCTGCCGGTCCCTGGGATTTATCACGGGAACACGTCTCCATCCAGATCCCGTCTGCAGGTTAAACGAAAAGCAAAGACCTGTAAAACTTTCTTTTCTCATCTTGTTTTACCGGCCTTCATTGTTATTTTTGCTCCTCTGCCAGGCCCAGCACAGCCTGGACTCACGGCCCAGCAGCGTGTCCTCCATGTCGTCCATCTCCTGGGCCAACACGGCGGCGGCCGGCGCCACGCCTCTTCCAAAAATAATGGCTCCCACGGGCCGCAGGGGCAAGCTCATCTACACCCCCATGATCCTGGTGGATCAGGAGTCCGGCACCAGCCAGCCTCTGTGGGGCGACGGCTCTGCCAGCCTTCCAGCGGGACAGCGTCCAGGCTGGTACCCGGGTCAGACCAGAACCTTCACCAGTGTGAGGATGCCGCCTCCTGGAAACCAGAGCTTTATAGACAAAGGCAGCGCTGACAGTCTGGTCGAGTCGGTGAGTTCTAATCAAGGAGGTTTTTGTCAGCTGCTACAAATGATCTTTATTCTTCCACAAGTACTCTGGATTTTATTTATTCTTTAATCAACAGAGGTAAAACTAATTTAATGACCATTTTCTATGGAGAGCCGTTCCATTC